GGAAGTCCTTCTTCACCCAAAGAGTGACTAACACATGGAATTCACTGCCACAGGAAGTGGTGGCGGCTACAAGCATGGACGGCTTCAAGAGGGAATTAGATAAGCATATGGCGCAGAGGTCCATCAGTGGCTATTGGCCACAAGGTATAGAGAGGAACTCTCAGTCTGGGGCAAGTGATGGACTGGTGCTGGAGAGGGGGCAACAGTGGGAGGGCTTCTAGTGTCCTGGCCCCACTGGTGGACCTCCTGATGGCACCTCGTATTTTTGGCCACTGTATGACAGAGTGTTGGACTGGATGGGCCATTGGCCTGATCCAACATTGGCTTCTCTTATGTTCTTATGGCCCCACTGGGGAGAAAAATGGGGTATAAATACCTTAAGTTATGGTCAAGGCGTTTGATATCGTAGGGCCAACATTCACCACCAGCACTTCGTGCAGGTCAAACGTCACCCAAAATAGCTTCCATACAGCCACACTCCCAACACTGTAACCTCCCAATGGGAGTACTTTCTAAGTTCCCTTGCAAACCAGAGCGAGGGAGCGTGAGACAGAGCACCGTGCAGACATGCTGAATCAGCTCCTATGCCTAACATGTACTCCAGTCTCCAGAGTGAGTCCAGCAATTTACTTTCATGGGGCGCTCTTCCCAGCCCTGTAGCTAGGGATTTTTTTTGTGAGGGGGCCTTGGGGGCCCCCGCCAGCTAATCAAATGGGGGGGGGCAGCTTCCCCCCTCCAACAAGGGCAGCACATCCCTGTGTGGCATCTGGCTCCCTCCCTCCCTGAGGAACCCCAGTGCCCCTTCCCTTGTCACCGCACCAGGGGCAGCCTGACCTCCATCCTCGGCTCCCTCCCGGGGCCAGGAGAGGCGAGGCGTGCAGTGGCTGGCCTGGCCACAAAGCCCATAAAAACCACTAGAGGGCCAGGCCCCGCGTGGGCCCCATGGGAGCTAGGGGCCTGGCTCTCCCATGTCTTTGCTCTCTGGGGATCAGGCTATTTCTCCAGACGACTAGGATGCCGACTGAGACTGTTGAGCACTCCCCCTTGCCTGGCTGGGCTTACCTACTGCTGCTGGCTGGGCAGCAAACATCTCTCAGCCCAGCCTCGCTGTCTCTGCTGCTTCTTGTGCCACCGCTGCTGCTTGTGCTGCCCACGGACAGGTCATCGGGAGGAAGGGGGAGCCAAGGCCCATAAAAACCACTAGGGGGCCAGGCCCCATGGGCCCCATGGGAGCTACGGGCCTGGCTCTCCCATGTCCTTGCTCTCTGGGGATCAGGCTGTTTCTCTAGACTACCAAGATGCCAACTGAGGCTGTTGAGCACTCCCCCTAGCATCGGCTGCATCAACTGGTTTGTGCAGAAATGCATTCGCAGAAACCAGCAAACGGGACGCGCAGCCATGGAGTTGGCATGACGTGGTGTTTAGACTAGAGAGCGCGGGACTAACGTATGGGACTCCCAGATGGCCCCTCGGATTCCTAGACTAAACAACAGTTGAAGAGAATCTAACTGGACAGTCGTGCAAATAAGGTCACAGAAGTTACCGGCCTGTAAAAAAAATAATCACTAGCCTGTTTTCCTACATGCAATCATAGCAGATATTTGTGGCACATGAAAGGCACGGGGGGAAAAACACACACACAACAACTGTTCTTTTCCATTTTAAAGATGGTTCCAAGCCTGAAGGGGAAATTCTTCTCCGCCACAAACAAAGAGTCAAAGTGCTACTTCCAAGTCTCCCTTCTGGTATTTTCGTTTCATTACTGAGCAAGTCTGTACTGATCAGAACAACAGAGGAGGCTGAGATCTGGGCCCTTCGGTTCCTTTCAGCAGTAATAAATGTGCAGCGCTTGAAGAATCACAGAGATGTGATGCAGGCAGGGTCAACGAAAGACCCTCTTCCCCAAAGAACGTGAGGCTCAGGGATACTGAATGAGCAACAGCGCACGCCAGACCACTTTCAACCAACGCAGGCTGGCTGTGACTTATTCCTGCACTGCTGTAATTTTACTTATCACCCTGGGACCATGCCAAGCCTCGTACAGGGCAGTATACGCATTGTAATTTCATACCCCCTCAGGAAATGCAGAAAACATGTTGCTGGGCATGAACTTCAGCTGACTGAGATTTTGTTTAAAAGCAGGTTTCCGTTTCTTATTTCTGCAAAAGTGTGCTGGGAATGCTTCCTGAATTCTCAGAAGCCTGCAGGGTGGAGGAGGAAGAAGATTTACGGCGCCAAGGGGCGGGACTTTGATGCCCTACACATCGGCCTTCTCCATACCGATCACCCAAACCAGGAATAAATCATGTAGTGAAAGGGAGATCATGCAAATTTACATAACCTCTGCACCGCACAACTGCCCATTTCCCTGGTGCAGAATTTAAATTTTCTCGCAAGCACAAGGTACATACAACCTGATACGACACTGCAAGGAGGCATCAGGTGCCCTGGCCAGGAGGTTAATATCTTCCTAAATTTATGTTGTGACCAGGGAGCTAAGCACATTCCTGAACTCTGCCAAAAACGGGATTCTACACACAGTCTCACTGCTAGGTGATTGCTGAGAACTGCCACGTCATTGCGGGAAACTGAAGCATGACCGGCCCCAAGTCTGGTGTACAGAGTGGGGGCAGGAAAACCCCTCCCCCATGATGTGTGACAGCAACTGCATGCCTGTCCTTCGTGCTTTGCACCCAGTGTCCTGAGCCAGGAATCCATCCAGGCAGCCAAGGTGAGGACAGCAGTGATGGAGCCAGCAATGCAGGAGAAGACATCGGGCATGGGGCTGATGCCTCTCACCGTCTCCCAGACCTGCACATCCACCCACCGAGTTGCGGGCAGATCCGTTAGGTGGTGGCAGCGCAGCTGGGGCTTCGGTCACTCTGAGTGTTTCTGGCCAAGTGCAATCTCTCTGCTCCCTTTTGGGTTTGCCACTGCAACCTCTTCAGAAGCGGATGAATGTTTCACGGCATTCCAGCCAAAAAAGGGTCACCTACGCCTAGTAAGGATACTTTCAGGTGGGTGGCCATGTTGTCCTGCAAGGGAGGAGCAAGATTTGAGTCCCAGTAGCGCTTGAAAGACCCACAAGGTTCCCTGGGTGTACGCTTTTGAGCCAGGATCTGGCTAGCCCAGGCTGGACCGATCTCATCGGATCTTGGAAGCTAAGCAGGGTCGGCCCCGGTTAGTACTTGGATGGGAGGCAGTGTCCCCTCTAAGCTGAGTTAGCGTGAGCTAGCTCTCAGTTGTTCAGCCTCTGGCTCACACATTTTTTGACTTCGTTCTGGAAGGATGGCTCCAGAGCAAACTAAGCTATACAGTAGCCAAATCACTTGCTCACAACTTTAATGCCAGTAGCTCAGAAAGTAGAATTTCTGCTCACAAGACTCCACAGCTTAGAGGGAGCATTGATGGGAGGCCACCGAGCGAGTTCAGGCTTGCTCCACGGAGGCAGGAGAGGGCAAACCACCTCTGTTGGTCCCCTTGCCTTGAAAACCCTTAATGGGGTCACCCTATATCAGGTGCGATCTGATGACATTTTCTACCACCACCGAGCTTTTGGGAGTCTAAGGGAGCGCTGACTCTTCTTGAAAGCTTATTCCCTAGACATTTTGTGGGTCTTCAAGTTGCTATTTGACTTGAATTTTGTTAAACGTTGTAGGTGTAGGAAGCAGGGCTATTTTTGGGCTAGAATTAAGAAGTTGCAGAGATGGCGATCCTCTGTCCTCTCCCCACTGACTAAGGGAAACAAGGTTTTTTTGTATCACTTGCCGATACCACTTTTGCTTGTTTCTGACACAGTAGCCATCACAGATCCAGAGAGTGAAAGCCATCGCTGCCTGCGCAGTCTGCTTAAAGTCTCAAATTCAACCCCTAGTTTCGCTTTCTACGCCCATTTTGGTAGGGGCCAGAAATCATGCATCACGTTGTAGCGCAGGATTGCAGTCATGAAATATATACCAGAACAGATAATTTTTTGGGTGACAATTCAGTGTTTGTTTGTGACAATTCAGTGTTGAACTCATTTCTGAGGGTGACAGAGACATTTTCTACAAAAAGAGCCCTGGTAGGAAGCAAAGTTCCATAACCTCTACGATTAAGAAGTTGCAGGGATGGCGCTTTTGTTAAACGTTGTAGGTGTAGGAAGCAAAGTTCCATAACATCTACGATTAAGAAGTTGCAGAGATGGCGATCCTCTGTCCTCTCCCCACTGACTAAGGGAAACAAGATTTTTTGTATCACTTGCCGATACCACTTTTGCTTGTTTCTGACACAGTAGCCATCACAGATCCAAAGAGTGAAAGCCATCGCTGCCTGCGTAGTCTGCTTAAAGTCTCAAATTCAACCCCTAGTTTCGCTTTCTACGCCCATTTTGGTAGGAGCCAGAAATCATGCATCACGCTGTAGCGCGGGATTGCAGTCATGAAATATATACCAGAACAGAACTATGATTTTTTAGGTGACAATTCAGTTTGCAGTCATGAAATATATACCAGAACAGATAATTTTTTGGGTGACAATTCAGTGTTTGTTTGTGACAATTCAGTGTTGAACTCATTTCTGAGGGTGACAGAGACAACTGTAAAATGAATGATCTTAAAAGGGGTACGTCCAGTAATGGGTGGGATCAAAAGGACCAATACACTCAAAGTCTTGGGCATGCCAGTCAGGGCTATTTTTGTCTTTCATTTTTGAAACTCAAGCTCAGTGGACAGCCAGTGCCGGGCAACCAAGTGTCAGACTTGGGTCTGGGGAGGCCCAGGTTTGAATCCCCCCAACTCAATTCATTGGGTAAGCTTGAGCATGCATGGTCATTCAGCCTAACCTACACCTCACAGGGTTGTTGTGAGGATAAAATGGAAGAGGCAAGAACCACATATGCTGCCCTGAGCTCCTCGGAGTGCAGGATAAAAATCTGACAGAAGGGAAGCCTCATTCATTTACTAATGAGTAAATCCCTGGTGTATCTTTAACCCAAACTCAAAATAAAAATGGGGACCTACCAGCACATCAGTGGAAACAGGTTATCTTCTCAGTTCTCCAAGGCATCCAGCATTTTCCTAACAAGAGAAAAGATTTCTTTTTTTACTAACCATAACCACTGTAAGACTTTCAAATTCTAATAAGTCAATAAATAAAAGTCAGGGTATGGCAAATTTAAAGACAAACGAATAAACCAAAAACCTAAGAAAAAGCTTTAGAGAAAAAAAAAGACATTTGTAATGTTTTAAGTTCTTAGTTACATTATTTGTCCATAAATGCTAAGATTACCAGTTACTAGTTATGAGGTTTTACATTTGTTTAATAGGGAATAATTGGCACCAATTAAACTGACCGAGCTAAGGCTTTTTAGATGCCTAAAACAAATTAAGCTTTTTAATATGAAGTTTTAGGTGGAGATCTTAAAGCCTCTCTCTCGTCTAAAATAGAATTTGCTAATTGGCACTCTCCCTGCTTTTTTATTGGTTATATTAAGATAAATTAAGTGAGATTAAAATCTTATTTGATTTATTTACCTTTTGCAAATGAAGACCGTTTTAAGGGTTACACATCCTCTGCATCTGACGAAAGCGACCTCAATTAGTCAAATCAGAAAGTCTTTAAAAGCTTTGCATTTATTGCTTCCAGCACGGAGCGAGGTGGTCATTAACGTACCAAAATTCTCAAAACACAAAACAATAAAAAAGTCCAAAAGTTGTGCTAGTGAAGAAATGCTCAACAAGATGAAAACTAAATCCACAGGTTTTTTTAAAATAATTATTTTTTTTCTTTTCATAAAATGCATTAACTATTTTATACCAAGATTTTTGTTTGTTGGTTTCGTTTAAAGATGTGGCATTCCAGCAGATCAATACCATTTGGATATTTCCTTTAACAAGCCTTTAAAAGTCTTTATTGCATGTATATAATATAAGATGAAAATATAGGTGTATATATAAATATATATGAAATATACCTTTAAGTTTATACCATTTTTTAAAAAAAGAAAGACGTACAATGTTTTAATAGAAGCCGTTTTTATGCTGATAGCTGTTAAAATCGCTGTCTCCCTGTTTACTACTATTTATGAAGGTTTTAAATAAATAATGCATACTCTCACACACACTCAGGTTTTTTTTTTCTTTCAAAAGTTTATTTAGTATCAAGCAAGAGTAAACTTTGCTTAACACTACAGAACATTTTCAAGACTCAAGTTACAAAATACCACATTATTTGCATTGGTGATCTGCTTCCCTTTTTACGCATGTTTGCAAGAGAAAAGACTTAGCAAAATGGTTGAAGGATAAAAACTAGAAGAACTAAACTGTTGGGAAAAAAACCTTTAAAATAAAAGGTTACGCTTAAGGTTAAGAGAACGGATTAACATATTTAAGTAAACCTAGCCGGTTTTTAACGCTAGTTAAATCAAAGGCTATTTTTTTCTCTCCCTCCCCTTCTCCTTTCGATCACCTGCTCCCCCACCCCCTCCCCCCAAATACAATCTGGAAATAACAAAGCTCTCCTTGGGTTTCGCGCACATCTTCCTGTCCGGGTTTTCTCATTCAGCAAAAAAATAGATAAAGCTCAGTCCGTCCATTCAGATTAAGCACTTTGATTTTAATAAAAAGGGAGATTGTTCATAGAAAAAAATTACTTTGAACAGTATACAGGACTGGTGGAGGATTGGGTATTTCACAACATCAGACAGTATAATCAGTATCTGGCATAGGGCTGCTCTCTGTAGGCGCCTTTCGCTGTCCGGGCTGGAGGGGCCTTGTGTCTCGAGTTGGTCCAGTCGTCCTGTCCTGAAACAAGGGAGGGCAAACAGAGTTAGGACTTCTCCCACCCAAAAGTCCACACAATTTATTTTCCCCTGCCCAGAGAGAAACAGAGCAATCTGAAGGCGTCCATATCTTGCTCATCAGTCCCCAACTTGGCGCCCACCGACGCATTTCCAGGCACACAGTTCACTCTTCCTTAAAGCAAAGAGCCAATCTTTGCTTTCTTCCGTTCCCAGTGGAGCAGGAAGCACTTCAGAAGAGCTAAGCAGGCATCCCCCATGCTGTCCGTGGGGAGCACCCGTTTGGAAACAGCCATCTTCATCACAGGAGAATGCTAGTTTGGGAACCTGCCAGCAATCTGTGATTGGCCACGGCTTCCAGGGCAACCGTTTTGTGGTTGGCTGCATGCGCACCCACGGCAGCCATTTCGGGATGGCCCTTCCTACCTGACCTGTTCTCTAGTCTCACAAGGGCCCAGTGTCACATCAAGGCTGGGAATACCAATCTTGCTCCAAGCCATACATGTATCCTTCTCTGACATCAGCATCCCAAAGTCAAGGGTCTATGGGGCTACCCAGGGTCCCCAAAGGCTCAAGACATAGTTCTCATGGAGGTGGTCCGGGATATACTTAGTGGTCCGCACTTTACTTAATGATTGTTTTTATTGTGTAATGATTGTTTTATGATGTTTTAACTGTTGTTATGGCAATGGCCTTTGTTGTAGCCGCCCTGAGCCTGCTGGGGAGGGAGGGGTATAAATTTAACAAATAAATAAATAAATATCGCTTCAGATTGCATGGGGCTTAGATAACTGAAAGCTCCTCTCTCATCTGTGGACTATTCCATCACAAGCCACCGCTACACTGACACAACACAGCCCGCACCCAGGTTTGTTTGTTTCTTCATTTACTTCATACACAGCCCGCCCAGCATTGGGTATCCTTAGCAGGACTAAGATTAAGTAATTAGAAACCGACGGAAACAAACAAAAAACGGCCTAGGACACACCTTGACGCAGAAAGTGGATTACAAAGGTAGAAGACGATGAACAAAAAGCAACGTGACACAATAAGACATTGCAACCGACTGCAATCCCGTCCCCTCATACGAGCGTCCTTCTGAGCCGTTCCGTTATGCTATCGTTCTAATCCTTTTATAAAAATGCGCTCCTGGACATTTCCTTTTCTGCCCTTCCTACGGGAGGATGTTCTACAAAGTGGGAGCCACAGCGGAGAGCCTGCGAGAAAGGTGCAGATCTTAGAGTCATAGACGCATCGGGTTGGAAGGGACCTCCAGGGTCATCTAGTCCAAACCCCTGCACAACGCGGGAAATTCAGAGATACCTCTCCCTCCACACCCACAGTGACCGTTGTTCCCCGCCCGTAAGATGACAAACATACCTCCAGGATTGCTTTCCTGACCCCGAAGTGGCAATCGGCATTTCCCTGGGCGTGTGAGAAAGGGCCACGAGAACTGCGCACTGAGGCAACCCTTCCTGCCCTCCCTCTCATGATCTGCCTAAGTTCACAGAATCCGCATTGCTGTCAGGTGGCCATCTAGCCCTCGGTTTGAAAGCCTCCACAGGAGGAAAGCCCCACCACTTCCAGAGGAAGCCTGTCCCACTGAACCGCTCTGACTGTCAGGAAGTTCTTCCCAATGTTTAGCCGAAAACATTGAGCAAACTATCTTGGCCATTTGCTGGGGAGCGCCCTCCAAGAGCTCTGCTCAGACGAGCAAATCCCACGGACACCTTAGCCAAAGAGGGCAGGGGGAGAAGAATCTGTTCCTCAACGCCCGTCATCGTTGAAAAGTTCCTGACAAATCTTGGGTATCCACTGTTCATCTTTCCCCTCTTTCTAAAAGCGAAAAGCACCCACATCCACACAGAGCACCATTTTGTGTAAAGATGGGGCGGGAGAGGGGGAAGAAAGAATGGTTTACCCATTCATTTAATTTTTATGATGTTATTGTAGAGTGTATATTTAATGAGTTGTAAACTCCTTTGAACAATGTCTTTTGGGAAAGCAGGGCAGAGTGAGGGGTTATTTTAGACGTACGAGGCAATTATCAGTGATTTGTTTGCCACGCTGGGGTTCCCTCACACAATGCCAGCATTTTT